TTAAATTTTTTTTAGAAAAGGTTTCATGTAGCTCAGGCTGGCTTTTGGACCTGTTACATGTAGACCATGCTGGTTCAAACTCCTGCTTCCACCTTATAATTGCCAGAATTACAGGCATGTGCTAGCATACCCAGTTAGGAATCTGTCTGAATATATTAAACAACGCACCTGAGGACACTTGCCTAGTAAGCCAACCTGTAACGTGGAGCATGAGACTGTCAAGCCACACTCACAGCTACCCACTCCACTATGTATGCTCAAGTTCTCAACAGGAGAAAAGCAGGACCATCTTTTTCCTTCAGGCACCAAGGTGTGAACTTGTACTTTTGTCTTCCCTGGGCTGGGGCTTGCTCCTCACCTGTTCATATTGCTTTGTTTCTCAGTTACCTCAGAGAAGGCTTCAGGCCTGTGAGAAGAGAAGAGTCAGGTCAGAACACAAAGAGAGACTCTAAGCAAACAAACATCTGTTTCCTCACCCCGCCCCTGCCCCATTCCTTAGCAAGGAAGTCACTTTCCCCAGAACCCAAGATTATCCTACCAGTGCCCCTCCTTCTGCAGAGAGCGCACGTGGTTCTTGCAGAGCACAAAAGAAATCTCAGCCTTCACTTTTTCTCCCTCTTCAATAGGGTCAACTATGAGGAAGTCCCCTGTAGGTGACAAAGACAAAGGCGTTCCTGCGTGAGGGAGAAAACCAGGAGCCCAGCACGGCCCTGTACTGTGGAGGGGTGCTTCTAACCTCTCTTGATTGATTAGAAAAATCAAGAGCCGAGGCCTGGCCCTTACTGCAAAGGGATATGGCTTCTAACCTCTCTTGATCCAGATGTTCTTGCGGAATTTGGAGGGCATGCTCACCAGGAAGCGCTGCCCTTCAGCTGTCTCTACCTCATGCAGATTGTTCCCAGGAGTCCTGAGGACCTGCTCCAGGAAAGACCAAGACTTAGGCGTGTCATCAGTTAGAGCAAGCACACACTGCCCTGCACTGAGCCCTCCCACACGCAGCTCCAGCCCACTCACCTTTACTATCTGCTGCTGGTCCGAGGGCACCACGTGCTCCCCCAGCACCTCCCGCACCACATGCTTTCTCTTGGTGGCCTGAGACATGCTGGGCTCTGTCCAGGGCTGCTAGGGGCCGAGATGGTCAGCTCTTCTTCCAGAGTTATTGTGATGGCACACTTAGAAGCCAGGACTGCTTTCAAGAGAAGCAGCCTTATGCGAGAAAGCACCTCCTTGCCCTGTTAAAAACATGAGCTTTAGCCCGGCGGTGGTGGCGCACGCC